GCTTCCGTGATGCGCTCCAAACACTTCAAGCTGAGGCGAACCTCCCTTCTGAGTGACTGAACGCGGCTCTGTACATTAGCACCGGAAAGCCTTTGTATTTGAATGATCTCGCCGACATTTGCAGCGATGTTCTTCCAAAAATCCAACCCCGCTACACGCGGGGTGTGTGTGTAACATCTGAACAGATGTAAAACTTCTATGGCTCTATTCTTTTCACATTTGCAAGGGAACTTCTATGGCTCTAATTTTCTCACATTTGCAGGGGGCATGGCAGCTGTTTCCCTAGCCATGCCAACGAAGCTATGGGATTCAGCCGGAAGGGAATGTGGACGCACATTCCTGTACCTGCATTTTTTTTTTCCGTATGGCGAGGGGCCAAGCCAAGAACCCCAACCACAATAATTTTCAATTTGCTGCACTGTTGTCGCAATCTGGAATCAAATTTGGTCATTTACGGTTATCTAAACTGCATCTGAACCTTCCTCAGATTTTCGCCGAAACCATGTCGCCGACAGTATTTTGATTTTTTGGATTATTTCGCCGAGATCATGTCGCCGACGAACTTTGGGTTATTTTGGGAATCCATCGCCGAAACATTATTATTTTGGATTTTCAACATGCTGGTCAAAACTCTGTGGACTCTGGTTAAAACTCCGTTTGACAACATTGGATACCTTACATCGTTTTCGAGAAGTACCTCATGAGGCTCCTTTATAAATCTAATGATCTAGGCTGGTTTGCATGTTTCAGGATTCAGTTCCTGTCGGATCATATAATGATCCATTCTTGTCTAGTGTGTGTGTGTAACATCTAAATAGATGTAAAACTTCTCTCTCCTTTTCTTCCTTTGTCCTCTGCCTTTTTAATTCTAAATTCAATGCAGGGGGGCAATCTCATGTTTGCAGCTGATTGCCCAACGAAGAGGGCTGCATTCATGACTGATATGACTCTAGGACGCTGGAGTCACGTACCTGCTATTTCAATTTTGACTGACATGGCACGCGGCCAAGCCTAGAACCGCACGGCTGTATTTTCACTTCACGGTTGTCGCAATCTGGAATCAATTTTGGTCATTTACGATTTGTTTCGCTGCATCAGAACCTTCCTCAGAGCAAGGACGTAGAAAGCCTACTTGGAATAATCTGTTTACATGATCGCCGACAAAATCGAAATCTTCGCCGAGACATCGCTGATGATATTATTGCTGGTTTATTTATTCTTTTTGATGTCGCTTCTGAACCCGATGACCATGCTGAAGTACTTCTATTATTTCGTGGGATGCATCGTTAATTTCATTGTTTCGTATCTAATCTGCATGTTTCAGGATTCAGTTCCTACCGGATCATATAATGATCCATTCTTGTCTAGTGTGATTTCCATGGTGGCTCCGACATGGTGCCATGGAGCCATTTGAGGCAACCCTTTTCAGGGTGAGTGTCGACAGTCTTGAACTCTGAATTAACAATTTTAATTTGATAATTCGCTTGAGTAAATTGTAACAGTTGGCCTTCTGTTCTGCTCCATTTTTTGAGTATCCTGCTGCTCCTGCGGTCCCTTGTGAAACCTGTGGAATGCATCCCTCACGGTGAAGCCGTTCTGAACTGCCAGAAACTCCATTTTTTACTACTGCAGCAACTTTTGCAGCGTCATTGCATCATGTCACGACACTTGAATCAGGCAGGCACACGTCTTGCAGGTGTGGTTTTCTTTCCTTTGGGTTCTCTGGTGAGGTGAAACATATTGTGCATCTAATTCGAGGGAATTTGTAAGCCGTTTTATGCCCTTGTGGCTGACTGGAACACGGGCCTGGATTGGCACAACGCACGACCTTTAGGTTTAGGAGCTGAATCCTGTCTTTAATTAATTGTTTTGGTTTTCTTGCCTGTCATTAACTAGTCCCCCATTTGGTCCCTAATCTTCCCCGCGTGCCTCTCCGTAATGTGTCGTGGGGTTTAGGTGTGTGCGCTGTTTTTTGTCAGGTCCGTTTCGCCGTGTAGGTTGGTTCCGGAGGTCCGTCTGTTCCCCTCCCCCCCCTGCGCTGTTTTTGGCCGTCTGCCCGTCGTGTGTCCGCTTTTTTCTTCCTCTTGCCTTTCAGGGTTGACCCGGCTCCGGCCGGGTGTGTGTGTGTGTAACATCTAAATAGATGTAAAACTTCTCTCTCCATTTCTTCCTTTGTCCTCTCCCTTTTTAATTCTAAATTCAATGCAGGGGGGCAATCTCATGTTTGCAGCTGATTGGAGGGCCGGTATGGTCTAGTGGATAAGACGCATCCCTCATGCGTCAGACCCGGGCTCAATACCCGGGTGCAACACTAGGCGGACAGGCGGGCCACTACCCCACCCCTGCAGTTAAGGGGATGAGCTAGGGTGTGGTCCGTAAAACACTCACCTGTTTGCAGCTGATTGCCCAACGAAGAGGGCTGCATTCATGACTGATATGACTCTGGGACGCTGGAGTCACGTACCTGCTATTTCAATTTTGACTGACATGGCACGCGGCCAAGCCTAGAACCGCACGGCTGTATTTTCACTTCACGGTTGTCGCAATCTGGAATCAATTTTGGTCATTTACGATTTGTTTCGCTGCATCAGAACCTTCCTCAGAGCAAGGACGTAGAAAGCCTACTTGGAATAATCTGTTTACATGATCGCCGACAAAATCGAAATCTTCGCCGAGACATCGCTGATGATATTATTGCTGGTTTATTTATTCTTTTTGATGTCGCTTCTGAACCCGATGACCATGCTGAAGTACTTCTATTATTTCGTGGGATGCATCGTTAATTTCATTGTTTCGTATCTAATCTGCATGTTTCAGGATTCAGTTCCTACCGGATCATATAATGATCCATTCTTGTCTAGTGTGATTTCCATGGTGGCTCCGACATGGTGCCATGGAGCCATTTGAGGCAACCCTTTTCAGGGTGAGTGTCGACAGTCTTGAACTCTGAATTAACAATTTTAATTTGATAATTCGCTTGAGTAAATTGTAACAGTTGGCCTTCTGTTCTGCTCCATTTTTTGAGTATCCTGCTGCTCCTGCGGTCCCTTGTGAAACCTGTGGAATGCATCCCTCACGGTGAAGCCGTTCTGAACTGCCAGAAACTCCATTTTTTACTACTGCAGCAACTTTTGCAGCGTCATTGCATCATGTCACGACACTTGAATCAGGCAGGCACACGTCTTGCAGGTGTGGTTTTCTTTCCTTTTGGTTCTCTGGTGAGGTGAAACATATTGTGCATCTAATTCGAGGGAATTTGTAAGCCGTTTTATGCCCTTGTGGCTGACTGGAGCACGGGCCTGGATTGGCACAACGCACGACCTTTAGGTTTAGGAGCTGAATCCTGTCTTTAATTAATTGTTTTGGTTTTCTTGCCTGTCATTAACTAGTCCCCCATTTGGTCCCTAATCTTCCCCGCGTGCCTCTCCGTAATGTGTCGTGGGGTTTAGGTGTGTGCGCTGTTTTTTGTCAGGTCCGTTTCGCCGTGTAGGTTGGTTCCGGAGGTCCGTCTGTTCCCCTCCCCCCCCTGCGCTGTTTTTGGCCGTCTGCCCGTCGTGTGTCCGCTTTTTTCTTCCTCTTGCCTTTCAGGGTTGACCCGGCTCCGGCCGGGTGTGTGTGTGTGTAACATCTAAATAGATGTAAAACTTCTCTCTCCATTTCTTCCTTTGTCCTCTCCCTTTTTAATTCTAAATTCAATGCAGGGGGGCAATCTCATGTTTGCAGCTGATTGGAGGGCCGGTATGGTCTAGTGGATAAGACGCATCCCTCATGCGTCAGACCCGGGCTCAATACCCGGGTGCAACACTAGGCGGACAGGCGGGCCACTACCCCACCCCTGCAGTTAAGGGGATGAGCTAGGGTGTGGTCCGTAAAACACTCACCTGTTTGCAGCTGATTGCCCAACGAAGAGGGCTGCATTCATGACTGATATGACTCTGGGACGCTGGAGTCACGTACCTGCTATTTCAATTTTGACTGACATGGCACGCGGCCAAGCCTAGAACCGCACGGCTGTATTTTCACTTCACGGTTGTCGCAATCTGGAATCAATTTTGGTCATTTACGATTTGTTTCGCTGCATCAGAACCTTCCTCAGAGCAAGGACGTAGAAAGCCTACTTGGAATAATCTGTTTACATGATCGCCGACAAAATCGAAATCTTCGCCGAGACATCGCTGATGATATTATTGCTGGTTTATTTATTCTTTTTGATGTCGCTTCTGAACCCGATGACCATGCTGAAGTACTTCTATTATTTCGTGGGATGCATCGTTAATTTCATTGTTTCGTATCTAATCTGCATGTTTCAGGATTCAGTTCCTACCGGATCATATAATGATGCATTCTTGTCTAGTGTGTGAATTTCGGAATGTTCAATGCAGGCGGTCCGTTCTGGAATGTGATGATTTCTGTTGGATTTCTGGTTGGAACTCTTCATCAAGGGACCCACGCAGGAGAAAAGGACCAAGAAACAAGAGAGAATGGAGGAGGATGCCAGGCGAGGAAAGGAGTGAGGCTACATTCTCTGGCTGCTGTACCCTCTGGTAAACATACAAAAAACTATGGAAAATCACAATTTTTAATGGGAACATCCACTATTTCTATGGTCATTTTCAATAGCTATTTTGACATAACCAGAGGGTAGCTCAACCATGGCATTTTCAGAGCCCCAAGGGAGTTTTCATGGGATTGTCCTAGTTCCACCGACACGATTCTAGGCTCGAGATACCTCGAATCTCATTTTTTGTGACCAGGCGGCTCTTTGAGGCCATAGACCGTGACAACGAGGCACATCGCATTGTTTGCGCATGGATCATGGAAGGACATCCCCTCGGATTTGCTCCGATTCAGTGCTGCGCGAAAAAAATTGGGTTATTGACATAGGCAACCTACACAATCCACACCTAGTAATATTAGTAGCTACCTTTCCAATTCTTGTCAAACCGGTTCCTGAAACCGAATTTATATGAATTTATGATGTTCATGTCCAAACCGAGGAAATGCCACGAATAGAACGATACAACGGCTGCCAGGTGAGATCTCGATTGAAACAGAAACTGGCGGAGTCGGAAGCAGCCAGGGCCTCCGCAGAGGCTTGGGCATCTGAACGCACACCCTGACAGAACCTGCCGTACTTGGACAACTTGGACAAGTTGAGATGTTGAAACAGAAACAAATGTCAGTTGCATTCTTCATTTGTCAACCTTCATCTTTGATATCTTTGTTTACTTGGGAATGGATTTAAGCCTCCAGTGTTGTCTTTTTCCCCATGTACCATCTTGCGGCATCATGTTGTTTGTGAGCGGTAAAGTGGCTGGTTGGGGCCACTCTTCAATCTTGTCAGTGAGAACACGGTGAGATGGTTTCATGTGATTCCGCAGAACTCTCTTCGCAAGTTTGCCACTCTTTGCCACAAAAAATTGCCAGAACCAAAATCCTTGAACACATTCACAGTGATTTTCAGGACAAGTTGACAGCTGCTCAAGAGGAGGCAGATGGTGTGTGGGGGCACGCTACCACTTCGGAGGTTTTGGATGCTGCTCCTGTGGCAGGAAAGAATTGACAGGTTTGATGCATGGACACCTGACAGGTACTTGGCTATGGTAACCTTCAATGAAGTAGTAGTCATCCCTACGTGCAGGGGATAGACGCATAGAAACTAAACCTAGGCACCAACTTTTTTCTGTCTCTCTATGGGCTCATTACGACCTTGACGATCCGTCCCACTGTCGTTCATAATCTGTCCATAAAGCAAATTTGGTTGAAAGGTCCGAATGGCAAGAGATGCACAGCAGGCGAGCGAAGAGGTCTGGTGCTCAGGTCAAGTGAATGGCATCAGAATGCGAGTCTGGTCTTTTTTTTGCAACCAGGCGGAGTCTGGTCTTGCCGCTGACATATATGACATAGGGCTATCAGCTGACACGCACACACACTGGAACACACATTCACCCGGCTCACACTTGGTTGCATTCTTTGCATTTCGCACTGGATATACGGTGCACAAACTTGGCTTGGTTTAGACACGGCAAGTTGTGTTTATTTCTTCATTTTGAAGTAAGTTGGAATGGAAAGCGTTTGGGAGGCTTGCCGGAGGATGGAGGCTTGCCGTGAGAAAAAGCAACTGCTCCGGCAGACCTTGAGGAAAACTTCTAAGGAATTTGAGCGGGGTGTGTCAGGAACTTTTCAGAGGGACACTTGTTCATTGCAAAATCTGTAAATCTGCATAAGATTGTGAATTGCCATGTTGCCCTTTGCCATGTGCAGGCCATTCAGCATGATCTTCAGTCAAAGCTGGCCAATGCAAAGGAGGAGGTGCTGCAACCAGCTTGGCATCGTTTTACTCCAGAGTTTTGGCACATGTAATATGATAAATATGTGATATTTTTTTCTGTTTGATTGGCTAGCAGAATGGAAGTTGGGGTGCACAAGTCATTCCTGACAGGCAACCCATTTGAAAACCCAGCTCTCCAGGGATGAGGTGCATAGGGAAATTGTTGTTATTCTTCAGTATGACACATGCTCTTTTTCCCAGTTTGTGTGATGCGACATTGCAGTAATGGTAGCTGATCTTATGTGTTTGTTTCATCATGTTGGAGTTGGAATGGAAAGCGTTTGGGAGGCTTGCCGGAAGATGGAGGCAAGTGCGAAAAAGCAACTGCTCCGGCAGACCTTGAGGGAAACTTCTAAGGAATTTGAGTGGGGTGTGTCAGGAACTTTTCAGAGGGACACTTGTTCATTGCAAAATCTGTAAATCTGCATAAGATTGTGAATTGCCATGTTGCCCTTTGCCATGTGCAGGCCATTCAGCATGATCTTCAGTCAAAGCTGGCCAATGCAAAGGAGGAGGTGCTGCAACCAGCTTGGCATTGTTTTACTCCAGAGTTTTGGCACATGTAATATGATAAATATGTGATATTTTTTTTCTGTTTGATTGGCTAGCAGATTGGAAGTTGTTGGACTTGTTGCTGGCAAGGATAAACAAAACCTCTCTTTGCATCCATTTAACATTACCCTTAGTGGCTGTCGAACGATTTGGTTGTGTTTCTTTCCGTTTGATCTTTATGCATGGAGAATTTGAAAGGCTTGTTCAGCAAAAGAGAACAATCATGCCAGTGAGGAGGCCTGGGGTTCGGGGTTGTGTCAGCACCTGAAAATGATGGACATTTTGTTTGGCATTTTTTCTCTTGAACTTGAGTAGGAAGAGTGGTTTGAACCCGCCAGGCTCACCAGAAGATGGAAGCCCGTGCCTTAGAGAAAGAGACAGCTGTGGCAGCTGTTTTCAGAGCATAGCCTCGGGAGATCAAAGCCAGAATGGAAAATCATGGAAAATCCACCAGTCTTATCGATGCTTATCCCATTGATTTAGATGATTTCCCGTATCGGGTTTTTAGCAGGGATATGATCGGAAGCCAACAAGAGGGGGCCAACATGAAGGGAGATCTCATTTTTGCACAGTATGGCATAGCTCAGCCTGACCACAACACAAGCAATTGTCAGTGGCGGCTGTTTTTTTGCTACCCCCAGGTTCGTCGGAAGATCCAACTTTCGAGGCAGAGACCTCGCCAGGGGGAAATGGTGGACCATCTGGTTATTTAACATAGCCATGGAAAATCACCATTTTTAATAGGTAAACCTCTATTTCTATGGGCCATTTCCCATGGCTATGTTAGTCATAACCAGAGGGTATATATCATTTGCGGGTGTTTGGATGATTTGGGCTCGCAAATGATCTTCACATAAGTCATAGAGAATCGCAGGGAATATTTTGGAACACTGAAGCCAGGCCACTGTACAGCGACCTGCCGCAAGAGCCTCAACGTATTAGTGTTTGAAGAGCCTGGAATGACTTCTCAGTACAGATACAGTTCTTGTTCTTCCTGTTCTTGCTAGTGTTGTTCTTCTTGTTTTTGTTCGTTGGTCAAAAAAAAGGTCCAAAAGCAAAACCAAAGACTGAGAGGTGTTCGTGCAGAAATACGAGGCCGTAGGTTTTCCCTTAAAGGATTCCCCTCATCATCGGATTGGTTCAAGGGAAGATTGACACCGGAAACCATGCCTATTTTTTTTTGGGAAAAATCCTATGGTGACGATTTTTCCTTCAACCAATCCATTTAATTGGTTTAATTTCCATTCTATTCCCACTATAATTTCCCACTAATAATTAGTCCATAGTTTTATATCTAAGATATAAATAGATATAATCCTTAGTAACTACCAAGACAAATACCCACTACAATTACTACAATCCATCGATAATATAACCATATCCATAGTTATATTTTAATTAAACCCGTAGTTATATTCTAAGTATACCCATAGTTATATTGTGTCCATAGTTACCTTAGTTAGTAGAGTTCCACTATACTCTATAGATATCCGAGGGGATTTGTGCGTTAGTATGATCTGGGGCAATCCCACTGCTGGGAAACGGATCATTAAAACATGGATAAAGGGAACATGGATTATTATATAGAACAGATAGTGGGATTATATCCATAGTTATCATAAGGTATCTTAGTTAGTAGAATCCCAGTTATCAGCCACATATATATATATATATATACACATGCACATCCAGCTAATCCACAATAGATCATAGTATGTAATCCCATTAATTACAAGGATTCCCATAGTTATTATTGGAATAAAATACCAACCTAACTATGGGATTATATATAATTATAGTATAGACAATGGGTTACATCATTACATCATCTTACATATAATCCATACTATGGGTTACATCTAATCCATAGTCATATCTCACAGAATTGGATGGTGGGAAAACTTACAGGAATTTCTAAAGTATTTCATGGTAAAAACCATGGTTCCCTCTAGATTTTCCGAATTTCCCCGTGAAAACCAAAGTCATATCCAGGTCATATCCCTTTCCCCAGAGGAGCCATCACCTGACCCCTTTAGGTTAACCTATCGCCACTTCATTCTTGAGATCAAGGCCATTGGATTTTATGGGATTTTATGGTGATTGAAAGTGATTCTATGGTGATTAATGGGATTTAATGGGATTTTATGGTGATTGAAAGTGATTCTATGGTGATTTAATGGGATTTAATGGCATTTTATGGTGATTGAAAGTGATTCTATGGTGATTAATGGGATTTAATGGGATTTTATGGTGATTGAAAGTGATTCTATGGTGATTTAATGGGATTTAATGGGATTTTATGGTGATTGAAAGTGATTCTATGGTGATTTAATGGGATTTAATGGGATTTTATGGTGATTGAAAGTGATTTTATGGTGATTAATGGGATTTAATGGGATTTTATGGTGATTGAACGTGATTTTATGGTGATCAACGGGATTTAATGGGATTTTATGGTGATTGAAAGTGATATTATGGTGATTAATGGGATTTAATGGGATTTTATGGTGATTGAAAGTGATTCTATGGTGATTAATGGGATTTAATGGGATTTTATGGTGATTGAAAGTGATTCTATGGTGATTAATGGGATTTAATGGGATTTTATGGTGATTGAAAGTGATTTTATGGTGATTAATGGGAAATTATGGTGATTGAAAGTGATTCTATGGTGATTAATGGGATTTAATGGGATTTTATGGTGATTGAAAGTGATTTTATGGTGATTAATGGGATTTAATGGGATTTTATGGTGATTGAAAGTGATGCTACGGTGATTAATGGGATTTAATGGGATTTTATGGTGATTGAAAGTGATATTATGGTGATTAATGGGATTTAATGGTATTTTATGGTGATTGAAAGTGATTCTATGGTGATAATGGGTTTAATGGGGATTTTATGGTGATTGAGTGAAAGTGATTAATGGGGAGAAGGGATTAATGGGATTTTATGGTGATTGAAAGTGAATTTACGGTGGATTAACGGGATTTAATGGATTTTTATGGGAATGAAGTGATTCTATGGTGATTAAGGGGATTCAATGGGATGTTACGGTGATTGATAAGTGATTCTATGGTGATTAATGGGTTAATGGGATTTTAGGGTGATTGAAAGTGATTCTATGGTGATAATGGGATTTTATGGGATTTTATGGTGATTGAAAGTGATTCTATGGTGATTAATGGGATTTAATGGGATTTTATGGTGATTGAAAGTGATTCTATGGTGATTTAATGGGATTTAATGGCATTTTATGGTGATTGAAAGTGATTCTATGGTGATTAATGGGATTTAATGGGATTTTATGGTGATTGAAAGTGATTCTATGGTGATTTAATGGGATTTAATGGGATTTTATGGTGATTGAAAGTGATTCTATGGTGATTTAATGGGATTTAATGGGATTTTATGGTGATTGAAAGTGATTTTATGGTGATTAATGGGATTTAATGGGATTTTATGGTGATTGAACGTGATTTTATGGTGATCAACGGGATTTAATGGGATTTTATGGTGATTGAAAGTGATATTATGGTGATTAATGGGATTTAATGGGATTTTATGGTGATTGAAAGTGATTCTATGGTGATTAATGGGATTTAATGGGATTTTATGGTGATTGAAAGTGATTCTATGGTGATTAATGGGATTTAATGGGATTTTATGGTGATTGAAAGTGATTTTATGGTGATTAATGGGAAATTATGGTGATTGAAAGTGATTCTATGGTGATTAATGGGATTTAATGGGATTTTATGGTGATTGAAAGTGATTTTATGGTGATTAATGGGATTTAATGGGATTTTATGGTGATTGAAAGTGATGCTACGGTGATTAATGGGATTTAATGGGATTTTATGGTGATTGAAAGTGATTTTATGGTGATTAATGGGATTTAATGGGATTTTATGGTGATTGAAAGTGATTTTATGGTGATTAATGGGATTTAATGGGATTTTATGGTGATTGAAAGTGATTTTATGGTGATTAATGGGATTTAATGGGATTTTATGGTGATTGAAAGTGATTTTATGGTGATTAATGGGATTTAATGGGATTTTACGGTGATTGAAAGTGATTCTATGGTGATTAATGGGATTTAATGGGATTTTACGGTGATTGAAAGTGATTCTATGGTGATTAATGGGATTTAATGGGATTTTACGGTGATTGAAAGTGAATGGTGATTAATGGGATTACGGTGATTGAAAGTATAGTGATTAATGGGATTTAATGGGATTTTATGGTGATTGAAAGTGATTCTATGGTGATGAATGGGATTTAATGGGATTTTATGGTGATTGAAAGTGATTTTATGGTGATTAATGGGATTTCATGGGATTTTATGGTGATTGAAAGTGATTCTATGGTGATTAATGGGATTTAATGGGATTTTATGGTGATTGAAAGTGATTTTATGGTGATTAGTGGGATTTTATGGGGTTTTATGGTGAAAGAAAAGTGATTTTATGGTGATTAATGGGATTTAATGGGATTTTATGGTGATTGAAAGTGATTTTATGGTGATGAATGGGATTTAATGGGATTTTATGGTGATTGAAAGTGATTTTATGGTGATGAATGGGATTTAATGGGAATTTATGGTGATTGAAAGTGATTTTATGGTGATTAATGGGATTTAATGGGATTTTACGGTGATTGAAAGTGATTTTATGGTGATTAATGGGATTTAATGGGATTTTATGGTGATTGAAAGTGATTTTATGGTGATTAATGGGATTTAATGGGATTTTATGGTGATTGAAAGTGATTCTATGGTGATTTAATGGGATTTAATGGGATTTTATGGTGATTGAAAGTGATTTTATGGTGATTAATGGGATTTTATGGGATTTTACGGTGATTGAAAACGATTTTATGGTGATTAATGGGATTTAATGGGATTTTATGGTGATTGAAAGTGATTTTATGGTGATTAATGGGATTTTACGGTGATTGAAAGTGATTTTATGGTGATTAGTGGGATTTTATGGGATTTTATGGTGAAAGAAAGTGATTTTATGGTGATTAATGGGATTTAATGGGATTTTATGGTGATTGAAAGTGATTTTATGGTGATGAATGGGATTTAATGGGATTTTATGGTGATTGGTGATTTAAAGGGGATTTTTGATGGTGATTTTATTGATTAATGGGATTTAATGGGATTTTATGGTGATTGAAAGCGATTTTATGGTGATTAATGGGATTTAATGGGATTTTATGGTGATTGAAAGTGATTTTATGGTGATTAATGGGATTTTATGGTGATTGAAAGTGATTTTATGGTGATTAATGGTATTTAATGGGATTTTACGGTGATTGAAAGTGATTTTATGGTGATTAGTGGGATTTTATGGTGTTTTATGGTGAAAGAAAGTGATTTTTTGGTGATTAATGGGAT